TCTGACAGTGGGGGGACAGGTCTGATGCCTTACGGCCACTTCCAGCCCTGCTGCCCATGGATACCACAGATGACAGGAGTCCCTGGTTGCTGGGGGGCGGGGGGGCAGCTCATGGCTGTGGCTAGAACTCCCAGCAGGAGGTCACGTCACCCACTAACTCCAACTGTCCATGGCCGGGCCAGGGGAGACTCATGACTACACTGACCCCTCGCCATAGAGCCTCTGGGCTAGGCAGACCCCTGTAAACCTGGGGGGTGGCTACAGGGCCTGAAGAGGGGGTAGCTCATTCCCTCACAACCACCCGGGGCTGATTATGTCCAAATGCCAAGGAGGCAGAAAATGGAGGGTCAGCAGCTCAGCTTCCAGGAATGAATCCCCGGGTGGTAAAGCCCAGACTGGCATCACCTCAGCAGCAATTCATTCATCCATTCATTCATTCATTCATCCATTCATTCATTCATTCATTCAACAAACACTGCGTGTTCACGCGGTGCAGGCACTGGGCTTGGTGCCGGGAATACACCCAGGAAGGAGACCGATAAGCCTTACCTCCCACCCTGCCCAGAGGAGGGGCTGCTCTTGGTGGGGACTCCCGCACGGCTCTGGGGGAGAGGACGTGGACACATTTGGGGCCTCCTTTCTCCCCAGAGGCTGTTGTTCCTGACACCCCAGCTCATCACAGGCCTCAATTTTCTAGGAACTTGTCCAGGAGCCATGGGACCAGCCTCTGTCTCTTTGCTTCTGCCCCCCCCCCCGCCCCCAAGCACAGACTCATGGGGCTCCGGGGGCGCCCTGTGGGGTTGCAGAGCTGAGCTGAGCTTTTCCAGGGGAGAGAAGCTTCCCAGACCAAGGCCTCATCAGGGTCTCTGATGCTACCTGGTGGCGCTGGCCTCCCTGACAGCTCTGGGCCAGGCCTCCAGGCCGGTGGGCCCAATTTTAGGGTGAGAACAGGCCTCGATGCTCCCTCTCACGGCTCAGAACCCTGACCACGCAGTGAAGGAGAGAAAGAAACCTACAGGCGAGGCCAGTCAGCAAGACCAAAGTGGACCCCACTGCCTTGCCCTCGCCGCTTCCCTCGCCCTGGGACAGGCTGAGGAAGCTGCCCGCCCAGTAGGTGGGGAGAAAAGCACCGGCTGCCATTTCTTAGCTGTGCGACCTGAGCAAGTCACTACCTCTCTGAGCTCCAGTCCGAGTTCCTCATCTGTAAAATGGGGGTAACCCGATCTGGTTCCCCTTCCCTCAGGTCCGTGTGAGGTGGGGGAGGCTAAGGCTCCCCTCCCCCTGATAAGCGGCCAATCTTATTTCTCCTGGCAGGAGGGGCTCTAGCTGGACCCCAGGCCATACCAACATTTGGAAATGGAGATCTAGAGGGCTCATAAAAAAATCCTTGCGTGCCCAGGAGGGGGCACTGCTGCCCTGGGTTTGGTTCTGGAAGATGAAGGTCTCCTGGGCCCTCTGCTGGCCACGCTCGGGTCTCATCCTTCATGGACAATAACAAGAACCCTCACAAACAGGCCTCTGGGGCCTCCAGGCAGCCGAGAGGAGGGAGGTGACCAGCCCACGATAAACAGCAGGAGCGCAGGGCCCGCCTCAGACCGCGCCTTCCC